TGCCCGAGGTGTCAGAAGGGCATGGGGGGGGGGGGGTTATCGACCACCCAGGCCCTTCCCGTAAAAAGCCCCTTCGCCTGTGGCAGGCGCAAGAAGGGAGGGACGCAGTCCGTTCTCCCGGGTGTTTTTCAGATAAATGACAGAAGGGAAGGAGAAGTACAGTTAAGTACTTGTAACAGAGATTTAAAAAAAAAAAAAACCAACACGGGGGAAGTGCTCGACAAAAAAGTTATTGCTGCCAAGTGAAGGCAGATACAGCTCTCAGCAGTGTTCTCCCAGAGGCAGAGCTGACTAGTCACAAGTTACTGTTATGGGTTCCTGCGGCACGGGGCTTTTTTTGGTAGCGGGGCAGGGGGCCACAGGGGTGGCTCCTGTGAGAAGCTGCTTGAAGCTTCCCCTGCTCCGAGCCAGACCCGCCTCTGGCCCAGGCCGAGCCCATCAGCGACTGCCGTAGCACCTCTGGGGGAACAGATTTGAGAAGGGGAACCTGCAGTGGGGGAGGAGAATGGAATGTGAGAGAAACCCCTCTGCAGACAGCGAGGTCAGTGAGGAAGGAGGGGAGGAGGAGCAGGGGAGGAGGGGATGCCCCTGCAGCCCGTGGTGAGACGTCAGGCTGTCCCCCCCCAGCCCATGGAGGGGAGCGGGGGAGCAGGTGCCCACCTGCAGCCTGGGGAGGACCCCATGACGGAGCAGCGGGATGACCCCCAAGATGGCCGTGACTCCGTGGGAAAGCCCGCGCTGGAGCAGTCTGTGACTGAAGGACTGCAGCCCACGGAAAGGACCCATGCTGGAGCAGTTTGTGAAGAACTGCAGTCTGTGGGAAGGACCCATGCCAGAGAAGTTTGTGAAAGTCAGACTGTCTCCCGTGGGAGGGACCCCACGGTGGAGCAGGGGAAGAGTGAGGAGTCCTCCCCCTGAGGAGGAACGAGCAGCGGAGACATGTGGCAAGCTGACCCCAGCTCCTGCACTGTTGTAGGGGAGGAGGGAGAGAAGTTGAGCTGGGAAGGAGGGAGGGGTGGGGGGGAAGGTGTTCTAAGGTTTGGTTTTACTTCCCAATATCCTTGTTTTGATGTGTAGTAAATTTGTTTTGTTTCTTCTCCAAGTTGAGCCTGTCTTTTGCCTGTGACCATAAGTGGTGAGTGATCCCTCCTGGTCCTTATCTCGAGCCACAAGCCTGCCTTTAGATTTTCTCCTCATCTCACTATGGTCAGGGGTGAGGGTCAGGGGGGGTTGGTGAGCAAGTGGCTTACCAGCTGGGCTTAAACCACAACAGCTACTAACAAAAATATCCTATAATAAATAAATACTAAGTTAAATAGAGCTGCACTCCAGTTTGGCTAACCTGGCAGATGCTGTCTCTGCCACCACATCAGCAGGTGCCTGTAGCCCTAGCTGGGGGATCAGCCAGCCCAGCTGGGCTAGCCCCCCCTGCCAGACACCTCCACTGTAGGAGGAAGTCATCTGTGCTACCCCACAGAACACAACGTGGAAATACTTTATTAAAAGGCTGAAACACACAAATAAGGTACATTATATACACAAGAGCACAGAGTCATCATTCTGCTTGATGTCAGATAGGAGTTACTACTACTTAATCAGAGGCTGAGCTAGATCCCACAAGCAAGAAGAGTTCAGCTGTCCAATGGTGCTTATCTTGCCATTGCTGCTGCTGGCATATTTGTCCTTGATTGCCTGCAGAGAGATAAGTGTGATTAAGTTTATCCTGTTCATAAACCTACACTATTCCAGCTCAACTGAGGCTTGATGGGTCAAGCCAAGCCCATAGCCCACCCTAGTACACACCACCAGTTCACAGCTGGCTCACGCTACTTTGGCAAGATTGAGATCTTCAGCTGAAGTGAGCCAGCCTGATCCAAGCCTGACAGCAGTGGCTCAGCTAAGCCAGCTTCAAAGCACCACATATTGACACTTAACCACACATACTCCCCAACTGCCCTGTGAGACGCTGCTTACCATCTGCATGATAACACCCTTATTCACAAGGATTACATTCTTTGCTATATGCCGCATAACTGGTAGAAGGTCGCTCTCAGTGTAAGACATGCAGGATTGCAGAGTTGGTGTCTGAAACGAAGGTAAGTCTTTAGACAAGCCTACTAGAACAATCCGAGTACACTGGGTTCTTTGTCTTCTGTTGGGCTTGGGAAACTGCAGTCTCCTGTCTCACAGGGGAGGGTTAACAGTTTCTGCTCTACTGCTGCACCCTTGTAATGGGCCACAGGGAGACGACATGCTGAGATACCATGAAGGAAGCAGAAGGCATGCACCTGGCCCAGGGTGGCCTTTTAAGCTGGTGCACAGGCACACCAAATTCCAAACTAGGAGGTGGTCTGACAAGCATGACTTACCCACTCATATCCAGTGAGTTGCAGAGCCAAACAGCAAGCAGCGGCTGCAATCTTGGATGGAAGGAGGTGAACCATATCATAGTCCAAAATGGACAACTCCATTAGGTACTTAGCCAGACAGTGCTGTTGGAAGTCCATCTGCAGGAAATCAGAGTTAAGTATTTGGCTATCTCCAAGGCAAGAACATCCTGTCAAGCCTTTGTTTAGTCAAGCAGAAAGAAATACTCCCTTAGCGAACATTTTTGGAGCTATAGGCTTGAAATTCAAGTAACTTAATCACAGGCTGCTCATAGTCTAGGAACACTACTTTCAATGGCAGTCTAGCAGTGACCTGCAGTAGCAGGCACACATTTTAACTCTGGTTTTGGGTGGGTTAGGCTCATGTGACCACAAGCAGCCAAACACACAAGAGACAGGTCTCAACCAGGCTCAGTTGCCAACTGTTGCAGTACTCTAAGGTTTTGAACCATTTTAACAAGCTGCCACAGTAGAGTATTGACTTTTCCAGATGTTGCTTACAGTAATGCATTTTCCCAGCATTACCTCCGAAACCTTTGAAATCCTTCTTAGGAAGTGCGGAGGGAGAGGAAAGCTCAGACCAAAGTCCAGGGCTTGCAGGATCTTCACCTCCATCTGGCAGATTTCTAGCTTCGTATAAGTGTAATCAGTTATATAGGTAAAGTCTCCAATATGCGGGGGAAACATCTCTTCGTATTTGCTGGCAATGAATATAGCCGTAGTACCAACCAGCTGCAACATCTTCTTGGAAACAGGATTGTCCTGTAGTAAGAAGCAGTAGAGATTTATCTGAATGACTTGGCTCAGAACACAGCTTTTAAAGGTAGCCAGTGTGAAGTTTGTTCTATAGCAGGATGATCATACTGGCACATACGGAATAACTGTACATCATCTGTTACCTCTATTGGTATCTGCAGGGGTATTTAGAAGGCTTTGAGATCAAATCAGGGAGACACATAAGCAGTTTTGATATATCAAGTCACTGTTCATAGCTAAGAGGGTTATGTGGTACACACAATTCAACATCAAATGCCCACACAGGGTGTTACTGATCAGTGCTCGTTATGCATTAGCTTAGGGTAGAAGCATTGCCTGACACTGGGCAAGAGACACTCACCTGCAGGAAGCGATCAGTGACAGCAACTGCCAGGTACAAGGTCTCCTGCTGGAGTCTGAATTTTAACTGTACTTGCACAAGCCAGTCCATTAGCGTGGCACGCATGTTCCCATTGATTTTCTGGCCATCCAGGTATTGGGGTGTGACGGGGTTTTTTTGCTATGTGGAAGGAATATGGTTATTAGATCTCATCACTTAGCTGAAGGATTTGTAATGCCTAGCCTCTGTTGCATCTTAAGGCTTATCAAGGAGTTCAGTACATGCATAGCCCATAGGTGTAGGCCATAGGGCACCAGGTTTCTTTGTTTACTAGAGGTAGGCTAGAAAGAGCATGGTACTAGTACTACTAGTTGTTTGGTCTAACAACCAGCATCTGTTTATGTTATCAGCTCAGTTTAATCTTGTATTTTAAAGTTAAGGGATGACTTATTAGTGCCTCAGGAAAATCCATAGGTGAAAGTGAATACCAGCTGCAAGCCATGCCTATGACAGGTTCACTGTCAGTGTCAGCAGATGCCCCTTGAACTTCTGACCTACTCCTACTAACCTCAAGCTGTCTCAGATACTTGTAGATGTCCTTCACATAGCTGCTGCAGAGGCTTGGGTCAGAAGCATCTTCCGCATCTACATCTTCCACATCAAGCAAGACATCAGAAAAAGCCTGACATAGCACATCATCTGATGGGGAACATTCAGATACCTCCATGGGGACTGGAGACTGAGGCGCCAGCTATAAGGAAAATCGGGATCAGCGTGGGCAGCACCTCCTTCCACAGCTCAGCCTGGAGCAAGTGAGGGCTCCTGTGGGGCGAGCTGCATCCAGCAGCCCCGCAGTGCTGGGGAGGAGGCGGCGGGCCATACCTGGGAGGGCTCCAGGGCTGGTGGCAGCACCTGCTTGGTGGTGGCCCTCAGCATGCTCTTCCTGATAGCCATCTTCCCCAGGGAGAGCGTGAGAGAGGACCTGGTGGCCAGCTTCCACCTGCAGCCCAGGACCACCATCACTTTGGCAGCAGCCTGTGTCTTTGGCCCAGAGGTGCAGTTGCCGATGTCTCCCAGGGCGATGCGGGTACGAAGCCCCAGCTTGGGAGCCACCATCGCTGACCTGCGTTTCATGATAGGAATCCGACTGCTCTTCGCCAGTGTATCGGTGGCCCCATGGGTGTGCTGTGGAGAGAGGGGAGGGTGGTCAGCAGCA